TTGGTTCATTTAATTATATAGTTATAATTTATCTAACAAATACATAACTTCATAATGAATTCTGAAAATACTATGACATGCAGGAATCTGCCCTTTGAAACAGCAAAATCTCCCTTGAACTTATATGCATTGGGCTGGAGAGAGAGTACAGTGTATAATGAGGTTACCTTGCATGCAGCCAGCCCTGATTCTATCTCTGGCACTGCATATTGTCACCTGAGCACTGTCAGATGTTATCCCTGGATACAGAGTTAGGAGTAAACCCTGAACACAGCTGGGTATATACCCCAAACCAAAAAATTATATGCATTTATTCACGGTCACGGTCCTCCCGTTATTCATCGATTTGCTCGAGCGGGCCCAGTAACGTCTCCATCGTGAGACTTGTTGTTACTGTTTTTGGCATATTGAATACGTCACGGGGGAGCTTGCCAGGCTTTGCCATGCTGGCGAGATACTCTCGGTAGCTTGGGCGGAGGAATTGAACCCGGCTCGGCCCGGGCTGGCTGCATGCAAGGCAAATGCCCTACCACTGTGCTATCGCTCCAGCCTATGCATTTATTATTCACACATATTATAATCTTGAAAATAAGGCCACATATGAAAAAGACAAACCGTAGATTTGAGGGGGGTGTGGTGTGGTGTGGGGGGTGGGGCTAGGGCCATCCAGCTGTGCTTGGGGCTGATTCCTTGCTTTGTGTTCAGGGACTGCTCATGGAATTGCTCAGGAGACCATACAAATTGTACATGTAAGACAAGGAGCAGAAGGAATAAAAGAGTTACTTGGAGGAAGATAAAAGGAAGCTTGTTGCTCCTACTTTATTAGTGTGGTCAAGCCATGAAAGATAATAAAGGTGATTTAGGAATTACAACCCTGAAATTTTAAAGTATTTGTAGGATGAATTCTCTCCCCCAAAGCAGATGTATTGGCAATGCCCTGGCTCTGGCCTGGGGTATGCCCATGTGTACTTACCGCTAAAGAGGGAAATGACTGAATGGCTAATGTGCTAGGTTTGGATATGGCATGACATACTCGTTAATTGGTGTGAGCCAACGCTGTTGGGTTTGTGATCCTCATATTCCTTCCCTATTCTCATCCCTATTTGGACGGTTCTGTTCATAATCTGATGAAATGCTCCTGTGGTTTAGCATCTTTCTCAATGCTTCTCTTTCCTAGCGTAGATCGAGAAAGTCACCAAAGATAGCTTGTTAGCTCCTAAAGTTTAAAACTCTGTTAAATATTGCCCAAATTAGAAGGCTGTGGAATTTATGGTCAGATATGGAAAAACATTTAAAAACTATTAAAAGCAATGGACCTCAAAAATTTATTAATACACCAGGTTTGTCATCAGTCTCATTCATTTACAATCTGTGCCTTAATCAAGCACAGTGGGGTTGACCAGTAGCTTCCCTCCTCCAGATGGCAGCTCTGACATCCCTTGGGAGGCTTTCTGCATGGTCACTTAAAAATGCTTACCAGCCTTGGACTTCACTTTCTTTTGCAGGTGTCTCTTGAAGGGGAAAACACTTTTAGAGTTTTTCATTTTTAAAAAAACTCTTTTCAGTGGTGCCCTCCCTAGCAGTCAGTGGTAGGAACCAAAGAGGCAAAAACTGTTCTGTGACTATGTTCTAATTTCTAACTTCTTGTTTGCCACTTAGTGGGCAGGCTGGGGAAGGCAGTGACAACTGAAGCTCCCTGGATAGAAGCTGGAAGCAGAAGACTCTGGGGGAAATCACACAGAGCTGCTGCTCACTCAGCCACCATCGGAGAGTGGGCTTCATGGGCTCCATGGCAACGAAACAAAATGCCTTGGCAATGGGGGAAGGTTAGCATGATTCCGGAAGAGAGGGGAAGGGGGTTCTCTCTGTGACAAGGCTCTACAAGCTTCCCCAAGACTTTGTGACACTTTCTGTGAAGCCCAGTGCTGGGGGATACATCATTCTGAAGTGCCTGAGAAACAAACACTGCCCTTTCCCGTCCCATCCACAGACCATTATGTCCCTGTACTGTCCCTTTGGCCACTGACACCGAGTGTTCAACACTGAGGTGGAATTCCATTCTTTTCTGGACATTTCTTTCCTCTGTGCTAGAAACACATGTAAACAGGTCGTTTTTCTTTCTTTTTTTTCTCTTTTTAGATTGTGGGCTCTGGCCTCAATCAACACTGCAGAGACTTTTCAAAAAATTATTACTGTATTTGTGACTTTGCCATGATTCACCATCTATACAAATAGTCTGGTTGCTATAGAAACATAAGTATTAGAAAAAAAGGGCAGCAATTGGTGGCACAGAATAATGACATAAATAAAGTGGTGGAAACAACCCAGGGTAGTGTGTGAGTAGTGATAAAACTTTTATTATTGGATATTTGGGTAAACCTCTACATCTAATGTGACTGTAGAAAGAAAAATAATAGAGACCAAGTGCTAATTTTCCCCCTAATTTTGAATACTACCATTACCACCTCCTGAAGTGGGAATAAATGTTCATAGCTCTTTGAATCTTATAGTTTTAGTAAAACACTAAATGTATTGTCTCCTGAGACATTTCTAAGTATTCTGGTAAGTGTATAACTGTGGTGTGATAATGGCAAATGTTTACAGCACACTAAACAGCTAGAAATTTCGTTAACCAGGTTTCTGCTTACAATTCAACCATGTTGAAGAATACTATACTATACTATACTATACTATACTATACTATACTATTAAAGAATACTATACTGACTTAAGAAGGAACTTAGGTGCTGGCAATTGGTATCAGTGACAGAGTGCCTGGGGCTCGGTAACCTACTACAAAATTTAAGATGTGTAAATATCAACCTGAGATAGCCAAATGCCATTTATTCAAATTCATTCCAGTCCTTAATCCACAGAGCAAGTCTTACTTAACAAAAGCAAATGTTTAGCCACTGAAGCATAAGTACGAATATTAATGAATTCATTTTAATTGCACTTCCCTGCTGAGAGCTGTTAGCCTGTTTCTGTCAGTGATAAGTGCTGCACCTGGAGCCATTATATGTAAAAAATATCATATACAAATACCCACTGCAAACCCGGAAGCTACTGTAAAGAAGACTGAAGACCTATGTATTACACCAAAGTTTAACCACCGTGAAAATGCTTAAATTTGAGAGCATCTCAATGGAATTTTATACGTGACCATTCAGATCCAAGGCTTAAAAGCTAACATTTAAATATTCAAAATAACAAGCAATTAAATAGTGCTTAAATGGTGTTACTCTTTAGCAACTGTGTAGGAACAATTGCTTTACTAGGCAAATTATGTAAAGATTATATAAGTATCTATCTTTTTTGGATTTCTTTTGAGGCTCAGGGGCTTACCCACTTTATTATCTCTCCAGGCTCTCTCTATTTTCTTTTAAGCAGAGTGGGGTTAAGTCACACCTAGTGATGCTTAGGGCTCACTCCTGCCGCTCTACCAAGGAATTACTCCTGGTAGTGCTTGGGGAACCACATGCAATGCTGGGGATCGAACCAGGGTTACCTGTGTACAAGGCAAGTGCTTTACCTGCTGTACTATCTTCACAGCCCACTATCTATGTTTGTATTACAGTTTACACCATGAGTATTTCTTGTCCTGGATAGCTCTTTTGGTGATGAGACTATATATGTACATATGTGCATACTATATATTATATAGACTATAATATGTATGCATTATATACACACATATAAATATATTCTTCACAATTACCCAATGAACTAAGAACTATAATTATCTGCATTTGTAGTTTTAGAAAGCCAATATATAATAAGTTTTGGAAACCTGTTCAATGTCCTATAGCTGGAAAGTAAAGGGGCCAATCTGGACAACTTGGATCTGAAGCCAAAGCTTCCAATCAGTTCAATATACTGGCTTAAATGAGTTCCTTCTAAGAGTAAACAGTTTATAGTCATATAAGAAACAAACATTTCAGAAACTTCTTTTTCACATTTTTACTAAATTCAACCATCTATTTTCCTAAATTTTAATTTTTTAATTTGATGGTGCAAGGTTTCCTAGCAGTGCCAGAGTCCTCCCAGCAATCCTCAATCCATCTATGTGCTTCATTGATTAGGTCCAGTGATGTTGTGGGCCACCAGCCCCTGAACCAGCATCACTAAGTATGGGGTATGCAGTGGTAAGCCTCTAACTCAGAGATTACCAAATGCTAGTCAGTGCTCTAGTCCCTTGAGCCAAATCTACAGCTCTTATATTCTTAGTTTCAAAGGGTCTGTCATGTACATATAATAAAGATAACATTTTATATATGAATGGATATAAAGTTCAAATCTTGAGTACCCCAAGTGGTGGCCCTATTGAATTCCTAGACCAAGAATCCTTGTTGTAAAGAAGAACATTACTTTCCGTTTTCATTTTTCTACAATTGGGGTATGCAACAGAAATAAATAGATGTTAGTACAATTCTCAGTAAAGTTCCTGAAATCTTGGGAAGGAAGAGGGAGGAGTTTGAAAAGGCATTTCCAAACCTATCATTGCTTTCTTAGTGCAAAAGAGGGACATGAAATAGAAGAAATATAATTTACTAGGAAACATAACAATATCAAACAAATGCATGGAGCTCTTATCATTATCAAAAGTGGACAGTGTTTTTAAATTTTCTTTAGAGTAAAAAAAGAATCTAAGAACAAAAGTTTCATTTTTCAAAGCAACCCATAATATAAGGAAGAAGGCTTAACAGAAATCTCATATCCCTGTTATTTTGTCATACTGAAAGAACAAGAGAAAAATTTCAAATGACACAAGGACAAAGATAGTGTAAACAAAATCTGCCTGAAATTGTCTATGTTGCCATCATGATCACAGATACAACAAGCATTATTTCAGCAGTTCTTTGGCACAAAGCTGTGAGCAACTTAGCATCTACCTAATCAGGTGGGCACCTTCAAACACTCTCCTCACAGATTTCCATCTAGCCAAGATTCCAACCAGTCCACGTTTTCTCTGGGCCAAAAAAGGCTAGTGTTCCACTTACGTGAGCTTTTGAAGTCTTTCTTTTTCAGTCTCCTCCTCATCATGGTTCCACGTGGGCTAGTGGAGTAGAGGCTTCGAGGTAAAGTTCCCATGTTCAGGGAACTCAGGCTGTATGCACTCATGGAGGTAGGAGAGAAGGATGAAGACACCAAAGCTGCTGTAAGAGAGTGAAGACTTGGCACAGAGCATTCCCGGGAGGGCATGGGCCTGCCACACTTGCCGGCCAGTAACAATTCAGAAAGACACACACAATGCAGAGCAATGGCTGTTTAGTTCTCAACCACACAGAGACCAGCGCTCAGGAGCCACAGAGACAGCTCTTTAGAATTGTTAGTCACAAGAGCCTAGAAATGCCCGAGGAACTGCATCACCCTCAGCAGCACAATGGAGCACGGTGGGGTTCTTAGAATTTTGCTTTAGGCAATGCCCCAAACATTAAAACGGATCTCTCCATAAACAACAATTCCGTGCAACAGATACATGATCCTGCTTTCATAGATGTTTTCTGACATGAATTTCACAAGTGATTTCACATACACACACACTGGGCCTTAGATGATTCTGGATTGTTAGTCCCTAACACATAGAAAGCATTCAGAACATTTTCATCTTTTCGCAACCACACACACTTTCCAACGGAAAAGAAAAAGACTCAGGAAATGGTAGAATGAGAAACTGTAATTACACAAAGGAAAAAAAAAGGCACTTAACACTTATGAAGCCCAATCCAGAATGGATTAGATGAAGAAAGAATAAGAAGGATATGATTTCAATAAAAGACCAGGAGGAGAAAGCCTGGAACATTACGAGGGCTGTTTGGAGGAGGTGCTTTCGGGAGTGGCAGTGCTGGCACTCTGCAATGGTCAGGGTGGTAGGTGTTATAGTGATGGTAGGTGTGAAGGCTGTAGTGGTTGCTGGCCCAGGAATCCCAGGTAAGTTGCCTGTCGCTCCTCTGAATTTTCACTGCCCATATGAAGTGATGATGAGAAATAAGAAAAACAAACAAACAAAGAACCAAAAAAAAAAAAAGAGGAAAAAGTAACTGAATTGCACAAATAAAAAGTGTAACTAAAAAAATGAAGCTGCTTGCAAAGAAAAAGAAATCTACTGGCTTTACCCTTTTCTCAGTGGTCAGCAAAGCAGATGATTAACATCAGGGATGGAAACTTTTCATCTCTCAAGAATAATGCATGTCTTACCCCAGCCTCCCCCCGCCCCCAGTCCTTTAAGATGACTATTGAATCAATTTCTAATCTCCCCATGTGCTTCCCAGCAGAGATTAAAAACATTTTTTTTAAAACTAAAAAGTCAAGTCCATAAAGATATATGGCATACAATTAGTAATTAAAGATTTGCAAATCTTGGCCAGTTAGTAGCACTTGTTTTGAGAAAAAGAAAACAAAGAACAATAAATAACATTGGCTCATGATTTCAAGTGGTTAGCTAGTCACACATCACAATTTACTGCTCTGACATTTAATTATACTACGATTCATCACTTCGACTTGACTTTTCTCAGTAATAAGCCATTCTCATCATCTATCAACATCAGAATCTTATCTGTATCTTAATAAGTGTCAACATACTTTATGATTTTGGGGTCTTTAAAAATTATTTACATTTCAAAAAGTGTTAGACATCAAACCCAGAACACAAATTTGGAAGCATACATTTTACCCCTGGGCTACATCTCTGTCCCTTGAAGGAACAATTTATTCTTAAAACATCTCACATAATCCTAATTTCTTAAAATTCTAAAAAATCAATTTATTTCAATTTTTAGTATCACCTTTATTTAAAAAAATATTATATACACATATATATTTAGTAGATACCTTTTTATTCTAGAAATATATATAATATGTATATAGTCTTTTCTTTCTAACTTTAATTTGATTGAGATTTGATTATTTACCCAATGTTCTAAAATATGAGCATTATAACTGTTACTTATAATAAAAACATCATTTAATTTAAAGTATAAGAAACTATAGAGACATATCTCTACTGTTGAAATGCTAATTTTAGAGATCTAATATACAAATTATTTCACAGTATTTATTCATAGAGGGGGGTCAAATCCTTTGCATTTTAAGGAGTGATATTTAGATAAGAGTGGAAGTTACAAAAAAAAAAGAGTGTAAGTTACATCATCTGTGGTATCATCCTCACTGGTCACATCCCAGCCTTTTCAGAAGGAGATAGGGCATGGAAGAAAAGCACGAATATAGACATTACTTGGGGCAGATGCTGACTTATTTCAGCTCTTGCTCTTCCTTTGTATATACTCTTGACAACTACTCAGTCTCCCTAGACCTCAGTTTCCTCATATGTCCAATTATAAACATGAAAGCATTTACTTTACATGAAGACTGTGAGAATTTAGCACATACACATAGCATAAAATGCAGAGAGTGGTGCTGCTACCTGGAACCAAAACACATGAGTTAAGATATACAATGCTCATAATATTATTTTTTCCACTACTACTAGTTACTTACCCACAAATTAAGTGTCTTTTAAAGTAAGTAAAAGCATCTTTCAACAAATATCACTCATTGCATACTTATGTTCAGAGAATAAGTTAGAAATCTGAAGAACACTTTAGCCACCATTGACCTGTATCCTGAACTATGTGGCTTTTTCCTTCTCCTCCAGTGTCACTTCTACCTGTGCTCTATCCTATTTTCAAGTCCCATCTCCCTATGTGTTCCACTGCACTGCATTCAGAGTTCACGTCCTACCTGCCCAACTTCTGCTATCCACAACACCCTTAGGAAAATCTTTACATTTTTTAGATTAATTCGTTAGATTAATGTGCTTCCATTTAAGTTGCTTAGATGGATACAAGAACAAAGAGAATCAAAGTACGGCTCCCCTCCACCATCTCTTTATTCTCCTCTCTCTGCCCATCACCAACTGAATCAGCCACAGTAGTTCAGGTCTGTCCTTTGAATAAGCCAGGCTGCTTCTTGTCTCAGGACATTTGCACTTGCTCTTCTTTCTGTCTCTAACACGTTCTCCCTTATATTGCCATGGCTGGCCCCTGCTCACTGCGTAGGTTTCAGAGTAAGGTGCTACATCCTCAAGTTCCTGTGACCTTGCTGGCTGCAGCAGCAGTCCTCTCCCAGGCTTGAGCACTGCAGTTTGTGTGCTTCAAAGCCACATTACTCTCTCAAATGGTTTGACCTATTTGATGGAATTTGAATGGCTGGCTCTTGTAACTGGAGTGTAAATTCCATAGAAATAGGAATCTACTTGTCTTGCTTATTGGTTGAGTCAGGACAACCAGAAAGGGTCTTGTACATAATAACCAAATGTATGAATAAACAAATGAATGCATCAGTGAATAAGAATGTCAACCAGTGTCCATCTGTCCACATTCCTCTCCTTGTGATAAAGGATAATGCAAAGGAAGTCCCTAAAGTGTTTGTATTCACTATATTCATCTATTTTAAGAACTTTCCTTCTGTTTGCTTAAAGGAAAAAGCAGTTATTTCTGGGTCTGGTTAGTCTACACACAGCCCTTCTATTGTCATCCTGTCATCCAGATCAAATAACGATTATGATTCAAGTGAAGTATAAGGAGTGGACTTCAAGAATTCTACATCCAGCAGGTAGGGCGTTTGTCTTGCACACGGCCGGCCGACATGGCCAACCTCCGCCCCTCTCGAGAGCCCATCAAGCTACTGAGAGTATCTCGCCCGCAGGCAAAACCTGGCAAGCTACCCGAGACATATTCAATATGCTAAAAACAGTAACAACAAGTCTCACAATTTGTTGTGAGACGTTACTGGTACCCGCTTGAGCAAATTGATGAACAACAGGATGACAGTGCAGTGCAGTGCAGTGCATTTTGAAAATAATAAAAAATAATTTTTGAAGACTGGCAAGTCCAACTAATAAATTGAGAAGAAGATACTCTATTTATTGTGTGCCTGACATTGTGCTAATGAATGCAGGCAGGTTAAATAATGATCCTAACCTTTACTTTAAGGGTCTTTGAACTCTTAATGGGGATAAAATCTTCATCATATAAAATAATAAAGAGACAAAATTTGACTAAGATAATGCACTAAGTTGTATCACATGTAACCTGGATAATGAGTGCAAACTGTTCAAAACTTAACATAAGCCAGAGAAAATAGTTTCTGTTTATTTTGAATAAATACTTCCGATGAATTTATTTTATGGTTGTGGACTTGGTACTGTTATCTGAGGAAAGTATCTAAGTCTAAAATTAAGTTGTTACCTTTTTGACCCACTCTCATTTTGCAAGAGCCTTTATATACTCACATCCACAAATAATATTCAACTTGCACTGAATACTACTCATAGACCTGACACCACCCATTTTTTATAAAATAGCTCACATAATAACAGCCATTTTACAGATGAGAAAACTGAGGTCTAAAAGAGTTGGGTCACTAAGGTCTGAGTTAGGGAGCTGAAATCAAAGTTTTGGAGTCTGGCTTGGAGTCTCTGCCCTCAGTTACATGGTCTCCGGGTGTTTCTGAAGTTGTGACAGACACAACAGCCAGTGAAAATATTATGCCTTTGACATTATTCCATGATGATATCACTGCTGAAGCCTTACAAAGTAAGGGGCACAGAGGATCATGTGTCTGTTCTCTGTAACGGTATCCTCTTGTCCTGTGTGGCATGTCTGAGGGTGGAAGCAATAATCCTCAGATGAAGAGCTCCTGATAGTAAGTGTGCTGCCCCTGGGTCACAGTCTTTTTTCCAAGGTCAACATTTCCTTTCAATCCTGATGTCATTTTAACACCCTCAGTGGGAACCAATTCTAACCTCCCTGTTAGTTCCTTAAATGCTGTTATTTACAGAGAAGAGCAAGTTGGTCTCCTCTTAGTTGAGGGCTGATTTCTCTATTCCTTTGAAAACACTGTGGTGGATGCTTTGCTGCTAAGCAAAATTTGAGAAATGTTCTAACTCTAATTACCTTTGGGAAAAAACACACGCTGTTGAAGGCATTGGAGACGTGAAAAAGAACCATATCTTTCTTGTGGGAAAAGGGTAAAACCCAACATGCAAACACGGGAATTTGTGACATTATAAACACAAATATTTTTTGTATTTTTCCCTTGTTACCTTGATGTAATTATTTTTAAGCACCAATATCTAGTTTTCCTTGAAGTGCAGTCTTGTTTTAACATAAATTGTGGGGAGATGCTTGTTTGCTATAAGGAAGATGGTGACCAATGTTCAACAGAAAGGGTAACAGCGTTAGAAGTGGAAGCCAGACAAAATCACTAATCCCTCAACTACTATTATAATCACAAAAAACATCAGTTTTTTTACAGTTAATTTTTTCCCCCTTGGTCTCTCTACTTTCAGTATAAAAATTCATCTGCTTGAACTGTCTTAACATGTAAAAATATTTTATTATTTTCTGAGGTGGAAACCATGCTAAATTTTATCATATTTGTAATGAAACAAAGGAAAGTGGAAAGTAATTATGTGTGCTAGAGATGATGACATTTTTAAAGTCTGTGATACACTGTTGACTTATGATAATCAGAATTTACTAAGAAAAGACCTACTGTGCTTTCTTACACCTACCGTACATCAAACTCAAAGATTTAGATATCACTAAAATTTGAGAGATTTCCCTCTCAGCCAGCACACAGGAAAGGCCCTGGGCCTGCCTGACTAGGGATCACTACTGTCCTTTAGCATTTTTTGTCCCAATGAGGCTGAGCTGCTTTTCATAACCTATGAAATGATGCCTATGCAACATCCTTTCTCTACTCCAATGTGCAAAATTAAAATCTGATAAAGGTAATGTGGTACTAGAGATTTTCATTAGCTCCAGGGCTAAGTTCCATTTAATTAAAAAGGTTGCATCTAGCTGACTCATTCAGTATGAAAATTATCTGGTCCTACCCTCCCCCAATCCCACCGCCCCTTCACTACCACCCAATCTGTGGGAAAGCATGGTGTGTTTTAGGAGGTGGGAGTCAAAACAAATGACCTCCTCAGAAAGAACATTTCAATTCCAGAGAAAATGCTTCTCTCTCTTTAAACCCACAAAAATGTGCTCTTCTTTTGGGCCCCCTGGCAGTAAGAGTCAGGCTTTGGGAGGAATTGAATTCAAGGAATAAAGGAAGGAAAGCACTTAATATCAGGGAAAAAAGGGGGCTGTGTGTTGGAACAAATAGCCCATTGGAGAGTCTGGGTTTCTTTTTTTAATTTTTTTCCATTTGATTTTGGGCTCAAAGTCTTTTTTATTGCACCAGGTTTTATTTAAAGATGCCCAGGTGAATGGTATATACTCAGCAAACATATATGTGAATATATGTTTGACAATCACAACTGACACTTCATGTTGCATAAATAGAGCATATTCCCCGATTCTCTCAGGACAGAGACTCAGAAAAGCTGCTCTCCATCCTCAGGGAGAAAAAAGAAAAACAGTTCTGACAAAAAACAGAGAAAATCAACCCTTCCTACATTATTTTTTCTCCTCCAATATCTGAAGGGGGCTGCTATTAATTCCCACTTTAAAACTATTTTTTAAAAAGTCAGACTTTTGCTATTTACTTTCATTGTCCTTCAAGTTAAGTGTAAATTCAGTATGAATAACAGCAAATTATTTCCCTTCTCTCTACACTCTATTTGCACCAAAGACATTTTTTACAATGTCAAATAGCATGAGCTTGAAAATTCTAAGAAGCATTCTCCAACCCCATTTCTTTCCTCAATTTGGTGATCTCAAGTAAATTACAAACAGCTTGAAAAAGATGGAGGTAGGTGGGTTAGGAAGACAACGAAGAATAAACAAAGATTACTGGCTACTTTAAAAAGAAGTGATAAGGGCAGAATGAAACTTTCGGGTCTTCCTGCCTAATTCTCCTAAAGGAAGCAATGGCTGCAAAGGGAAGAGAAAAGGTTCGTTCCTCTCACCATGTTCAGGTCCCTTCAAGGCCAGGCGGGTCTGGTGATGGGGAAGAATCTCCAGCTTGACCTGGTCGGTGGTGTTGGCCAGGAACTGGGTTGCTTCTGCCAGGGTGCAGTACTCCATGCTGGTCCCATCGATGGACAGAATGTGGTCCCCTACGTGCAGTGCACCACATCTAGGAAAGGAGAAACTTGGTACCATGAAGGACCTCTCTTTGCAATGTGACTTTCAAGTCCTTCTTAGTCAAAGTTTTACAGTTTTCATTTTCTTAAAAAAAAAAAAAGGAAAAATGTGAATGTTCTAGGAAACACCATCTGTCAAATGTTAAGTCCTTGTCTAGGAACAGAAATGATGTAAAACCTTAGATTAATACGAAAACAATCTGAAGGAATGTTTTCCACTTGTCCCTAAAGAAATGTGTTATTTGGGAGTGGGGGTCAGTATAGAGGGGAAGTAGGCAGGAAGGGAGAACAAGAAAATGCTTCTCCTTGGGTTTTTTTCCCTGTCATTTTTCTTCCTAAGTGGTTCCATCTACAAATGAGTTGGTAAATATTTAGAATCTCAAGATGGGCCTAGGAGAAATGGAATAGGGTCATCTCCCGCTGTTTTTCGTGTGAATGAGAATAAACAGGGAGGGGAGGGAGAGAGTCAGCTAATAATTTCTCAGAATCCTTTCCTACAAGCTCCCGGATCTCAAGGTTCTGTTATTAATGTGTTTTATTTTGTTATTCTGGCGGTAAACATTTATTAGTCCCAAAGCCCTCCATGACAATGGTTATTATGCAGGAGTCCAAGCGGGTACCAGCAGAAGCCTGCCTGGTGAGTGAAGGGAGAGCTGGGGTGGCAGGGACCCGAGGCTACTTCCTGCTGAGCCAAGAGACTGGCTAGTTGATGAGTTTAGAAAAGCAAACACAGCGGTCAACATCCCCGCATACCAATCCAGTGGACAGCTTCTTAAGCTGGTTACCCTCTGTGGAATGGGAAGAAAACACTGGGAGAAAATGAAAGCATTGTGCACCACCGAATTCGAGAGACTCCAGGATCGTGGGTGTCGGGGGTGAGATGACAGTGGACTGTGGACAGAGCCATCACAGGGGCTGCTGCAGGCTGCGGTGTCAGAGTGGGAGTTTTCCCAGGAAGGACACATGAAAATGGGCCGGGGACACTGGGCATTAGATGCTTCCACGAGCATACAGTCCATTTCCCAGCACAAAAACATGTCAAGTCATCTCTTTCATCTGAAAACATAACTCCATGTGGATGCACCCAAAAACATGGAAAGAGAAGGTTTTCTTACTAGAGAGAAGCTGTAAAATAATTACTAGGAGGTACACGGCCTTTGTACCCTCCCTCCCCCACTCCCACCCCCATTCCCATGCTGCAACTTCTACTTTCTATGTCCAAGATGTTGGGGAAATTTTTCAGGTCAAAGGTCCTTTGCTTTTATTGTTACAGAAAATGAATATTGTTTTCGGGGACTTTTGAAGGCTATGAAACCCTAAAATTAATACACTCCAAGAAGAGAGGACTTCTCTTTAAAGTTAGCACAATTTTATTTATTTATTTTTTGACCATTCTATGAGTCTTTATTCTTTTTTTTTTTTTGGTCATATTTATTTATTGAATCACTGTGGGAAAAGTGACAAAGCTTTCAGGTTTAAGTATCGGTCATACAATGATCAAACACCCTTCCCTTCACCAGTACTTATTTTTCACCACCAAGAACCCCAATATACCCTCCCTCCCACCCCTCCCGATGTCTATGAGGCAGATGATTTCTACTTAACTCTCTACTTCGATTACATTCATTATTTCGACAAAAGATGCGCCATTATTGTTTAGAATTTCCTCCCAACAATCAGAACTGCTGAAAAGGCATTGAAAGTTAGCACAATTTTAAAAGGTAAGGTTTTATTTAGGAAGGAATAAGACTGCATGATGGCAGGATTGTTGACAATTCAGGGAAACCTATGACTTCTCTGCACGGAGCATAATAAATTTTTCTCTACTACCCAACCAAGTATAGCCTATAATCCTAGGACACAGTAGGAAAATCTACCCAGCTGCATTAATTTTTTTTTTCCTGTTTCTAAGGGCCACACAGAACATCTGGATGAAGGGATATTACACCATGGGTGGCTGATAAAGCAGGTGAGTTGTTTGTTTTCTTCTTGCGGGAGTGGTGCTGGGAATCAAACCCAGGGGCTCACACGTGTGAGGCATGTGCTCTATCACTAAATAATATTCTTGTCCTGGCAGGTACTATTTTTTATTCCTTAGAACTGTAAATTGTATACTTATCTGAAAACTGTATAAACGGGAAAGAGAGCTGATTTCAGTGTGTATACGTACTCAGGGGTGGACGCATTCGTATTACCTGTGAGCATAATTTTAAACACGTGCAGTTTGGAAGGGGGGGGGTTTCTATGACACTCACCTGTCAGCAATACTTGCAGATTTTATTTTGTCTATGACAATGACCTGCTTGTTACAGCACATCGAGGTAGTTAGGGCAACCCCAAGGCTGGCACCAGGAGTTTTGGCAACTTCAACTAGTAGGGGCCCGGATGCTGTTGCCACGGAATCTATGGAAGAATAAAGTTCAGAAGAGAAAATAAATAAGCAAATATATATACAAAAATCAAAGGGAAATTTTCAGTCTAATGTTGGTTGTTAGTGTTTGGGAGAAGGGCCTCCCAAGTAGTGGTCAGGAGGCCTGGGGGCCCCTCCAGGTGATTCTCAGCCAACTAGGCAGGCAGTTTAATGTGAGGGGCCTAGGAGGTGGTGCTGCCTGAGCTGTGATACCAGAATTACTTTGGCCATCCTGATGATGTTCAAGGACCTCCAGGGTTGCATCAGGTGGTGCTTGGGGGACCATGTGGTACAGGGGATTGAACAGTGATCAGCTGCAAATACATATGCCTTAAGTCCTGCAATGATGTCTCTAACCCCAGTTCATTAATTTTTCTCATTGAAACTTAGATTTCCCTCCATATAACATCCTCATAAACAGTGATTAGCATTCCTGTTAGGATACCTGCTGTCATTCAGTTTATATCACTGTGATATGTACACAGGTTTATCTCTTCTAAGAAACATTGAGCTTCTCATCAATTGCGGTAAGATTTTGTGCTTCTATATGCCACTGAGCTTGGCCTATAGGCATGCCCTTCAATAAGTGTTTCTAAAATGAACTAGCTCTGTACTTATTATGGATGGGCAGGTAGATAGAAGGAAGTAAAAAAGCAGGGAAGGAGGGAAAGTTGAAAAGACAAGTAATGTTTCAAACTAGTCAAATAGGAAATTTGTACCTGAACTGAATTCATAAACCTTTTGTTTTTCCCTATTCTCCCACCTGATCGTGGGACACCTTTCCTTCAGGAGGGACTTGATAGAGGCTTTATTTGGGCAGAACAATACTCAGTGTCCACAACCATTCCTCTGGGCAACCATCTACTGACTCCTGACTTGGTGAGATGCCCCAATGGTTTACTATGCTCCTGCTGTGGAAACTCACCCATCTGACCACTCTCTGGGTCTCATCATGGCCTCTGGGCATGTATCTATCCTTTGTCAGATGGTACGTTTGTGAAGACAGAGTCTGTGGTTTGTCAATTGAGTATTGTCAGTGCCTGGCACGCAGGAGAAGTGCAATTAACTAGATGTTGAAGGAATGTATGACCAAGTGAGAAAACTCATGAGGAAGCTTATGGCTCAGTATTGGTGAGGTCATATGGGAAGGAATGCTCAGCAGGGAGTTAAAACATCTTCATTGAATTATTTTCACAGTAATTTGTCTCTTCTTAGACAAACCTACTAAATCTACTTGCTTACCTAGAAAATCATGCCTTTCCTCATTGTCTGTGATTTTTTTAAATCAATGCGCAGTCAAAGCATTTTTATAATTTTGAAGGTGCCATGCACATAAATTATATTATTGATATACTGTGACTGCAAGTCTTGGAGTCATCTCATTTATCAAGACTATATCTTGTTCTGTGATATTTTTGATTTTCTACAGCCCTGGTGTTAGAAACTTCATTAATACAACTTTGTCCTTCTGAGAGTACCTCTTTATCACCAGGCACCACTCAGATAGACTGGGCCAGAAAAATCAGTATTCCTATTGCTGAGACTCGGGCAACCAAACACTGATTCACAATGCTGGAGGTTTCATGGGAAAAGGCCATTTTTACTTTGAGATGAAGAAGATGTTTCCTAAACACAGATGAGAATATTCACGTCAAAGAATTCATATTTCAGTGCAAAGGAGTCCAGGACATACTTTTTAAAAAGTGTTTGGTCAAGTTGAAATAATTTAGTCTTAAAAAGATGGTTAAGAGATCACTGGGAATTGTACATTATCCTGTCAATTCCAGGGCAGCATCTCATTAATAATAGCGGCAAGAAACCACTGATCTTGGTGTACTAAGGGAGCTTCTGGTTCAGGAGTGTTCAGGCTATGATTTTCTCATGAACCTCACTCTAACGTGTCAACTGTCCCAGGTCTTGTTTGCATTGCTGCTGTTTAATTCTGATGATCTATGGCTTCCTTATTCTCACATCCTGCTTTGTTTCTCTTTGGTGCCTCAGTCATAGTGCTGCCTCTGGCTCCCCGCTGCTCTGCCAACCCCCCTTCACCATCCATCCTGCTTTGCCTTACAGTGGAGTTCATTTGTAATATTTATATTTAGGGGTGGGGAGTGGGGTTTGGGCCACAGCTGGTGGTGCTCTGGGCTTACTTCTGCGGACCATGTGTGATGACAGAGATTGATCTGGGCTCAGCTGCTTGCAGGCAGCACCTTAACCCCTGTACTATCTCTCTGGTCCTCACCGAGAAGTTTATAATGAGTGGTCCCTGTGACTGTACCCAGTGATTTGTGTAATTCTTTGGATCTCTATGGTCCATGCTAATTGTCCTCTTATCATAAAAGGAGTTGCTTCTGCCTATCTCTTGTTTCCAAAGTCAAAGTTCTGCTGCTAAACCATGTATGCATATCTGATCATTCTAATTCCCACCTCAACTCCTAAACCTACTCTTCTTTGTCATGAGTATGCTACCTAAGACCCTCTTTTCCTGCTTAAGTAAAAACTCAGGTTCTCGGGCTTAGAAGAGCCCTTTATCTCCCTTTTTCTATAAACAAAGAATTATTAATAATTAGATTTTCCAAATCACTTGATCACTTGACTTCCCATTAATCTTCAATTTGCTCGAGTGGGTGCCAGTAATGTCTCCATTTGTCCCTGTCGCGTGCTAGTGTAGCCCAATGGCGTCTGTTCGCTCTAGGAACACGAAGAGCCACAAATCGATCATTTATGATCTTGATGAAGAAGTCTGACCATCTGGTAGGTGGGCGGCCACGCGGTCTTTTGACATCCCGTGGAATCCAGTCGGTAACAGCTCTAGTACAGCGGTCGTCTTTAAATCTCATTACGTGACCAGCCCATCTGATTTTTGACACCTTGGCAAACGAGACAGTGTCCCTGATACTTGGTCATCGACCGAGGTCAAAACTCCGGATTCTTTCTCTCATTTGAGTGAAACATGATACTCCAAGCATAGCTCTTTCAATTCCTCTTTGGGAGACCCGAATAGGTTCTCATCCTGTTTGCGTAGGGTCCAGGTCTCTGAGGCGTATGTTAATGCAGGAAATTAATGCAGATTTTCCAAATAATTTGTCTGAATTTATTAGATTTTAATACACGGATTTCATAAGTGACAAAACCATACATTTTCCCCAGACCTGTTTTCTCATATCTAAAGACAAATTTGTTTGACATACCAGATAAACTTTAAAAATGTACCTGTTCCTTAAAATTTTATCACTTATAAATGAGACACCATGAGTTGTTCCTTGGCATTTCATCTTTCCTTCTCTAGCAATAAGCTCTTTTAAGTGTTAGTGAGCCAAGAGGCTCCTCAGCTAGGGACATTTTCCAGTCTCCTTTGCAAAGAGGTGCAGCCATATGACTAGGTTCCAGCCAATGAGAAGTGAGTAGACATGAGATATGCTCCATCTTGGATATTCTCTTAAAAAAGAATGCTGGTGTTCTCATCTGCCCCCTCCAACTCTTTCCTTGCTGTTGAGCTATGGTTCCAGAATTAGTAAACCAAACTATCTTTCACCATGAGATAAGGATATGGAACCACAACATAAAGGAAGTCTAAGTTTCCAAAACTGCTTGTTCAATGTAGCTTGATTTAGCAAGAAATAAATCTACTATATTTAAGCTACTACTGTGAATTATTTATTATTCTTACTTTTGAGGCTTGGAAGACTATACCTAGTGGTTCTTAGGGGCTATTTGTGGCTCTGTGCTCATGACTGGCTGCTGTCAGTGACTGAGGGACCATGCAATGCAGAGGATTGAACTGGAGTGAGCAACATACAAGGTAAGTGCCTTCAACTCTGTTCTGTCTCTCCAGCTCATGAGTTATATTTTTGTTTTAACATTTAAAAAATTATTGTTTTATCTTTGATTTATAATACTACATAAATATTGGGAGTACAGCATCACACCTCTAAATATTGTGCTACCTGTATTCCTAGAAGCCTTTTCACCTAAGTCTACCCCCTCCAATGTACCTTTCTTGAACTACTACTCCTAGAAGCAGTTATTTATTACTAGGTCTTTTCCAGGTATAAATTTTATAAAACTATCACCCGCTGTTACCCAGAACTTATGCTACATATTTGTATATTTAAAAAATTACATTATGATCCAAATCAGAGATTGAGTTGGGGGAGAATTGAAAGGAAGGAATGTTGGGGTCCTTGAGGGAAAGAGGTGGGTACACTGGTAATGGGTGTGGTGTTAGAACTAAGTGCATAGGTAATCACTAATAACAGTATTGTAAATCATAAACTCCAATTAATAAAAAGAAAATAACAAAAAATTAGGGATTTTGAAAGGCATGTATAAGAGTCTATACAAATGTTGTTCATCTATAAACTTTGACACTACTTTTTACCCCATCAAAGTGGTCACAGCCTATTTAGTTCTAATGTTCCAGTAATAGTAGCACTGTCCCGCCATTGTTCATCGATTTGCTAGAGTGGGCACCAGTAACGTCTCCATTGTGAGACTTGTTGTTACTGTTTTTGGCATATCGAATACATCATAGGTAGCTTGCTAGGCTTTGCCGTGCAGGGGGGATACTCTCGGTAGCTTGTGGGTTCTCTCCAAGTGGGACAGAGGAATAATAGCACAGTGGGTAGGGCGTTTGCCTTGCATGTGGCCAATCCAGTAATAGGAAAAGTGAAAAACAGATAGGAATAGATAGGAAAACAGATACCAGGAAACAATGAAAAAGCACCCTATATCTTCTGTCAGCACTAGTTTAACAGAAGAGTTTCCCCACAATTAGTCTGGCACACAGCTGTGAATGGAAACTGGAGTAACCGTCTCATTTATTAAAGTAGTGTTTTTTACATTAAGGCTTCAAATAATCAACAAGTGCCAAGTTTCCACTCGGGGGAGGCTAAACTGCAATAATGTGTTTCTTTTAAAAATAAGAGTAGAAAGCTTCTGAATTTTGAGAAGAGAAATTGAAATTCATGAATAAGGGAAGAAGTGATATCAT